CACACACACACACACACACACACACACACACACACACACACGCACAAATTATGCCTTCTTCTTCTGAGTCCATGCCATCCCAACAAGGATGTTAAATACCATTCAAATGTCAGCCTGCTGTATTGATTGGAATAATAATTCTGGAAGAATTCTGAAAGGCAGGAAAGATGGCTTGTTGATGCTAAGCAGCAGCATGACGGCCCGGGCATCATTCACTGTCACAAAGTTGCCATGTAAGGGTTCCCGGCTCCTCTGGCAGAATGTGGATGGCGGTTTACGTTCGACCACCGAGGCCACGTGTTTCTGTCATTAATCATTGTCTTCACAGGCCAGTGACAGCCAGACCAGGACTCAGGCTGAGAGAGAGTATGTGTGGAGGTGTGGGGGTTGGTGGGGGGGTTGGTGGGGGGGTGTCATTTGAAATGCCCTCAGATCACAGTAGCTGTGTGTGAAAGTGTGTGGCTGAATGTCAGAACAGAGGGTACATTCACTGGCAGGTGAACATACCTTATCTGTCATGTCTGAGTGCAGGAAAAGTAATACTGAACTACAAGCATAAATATGATCAGTTCCATATTGGATCTGGTCTGCGAAGATTCACTAATCTCATATTAAACAGTGTACGCATGTAAAATTAACACTTTCACTTTTATAGCTGGTGCTGGATGTTGCATTCTGTGGCTGCAGTGCCAGTTAATTCTGTATCAGCTACCCTGAAAAACTGGTCTATCGGTCCAAGCGGCTTCTCTCCAAGCCGTTGACTGTACTCTGCCAAATAGTGTGAGTACAGAGAAACATCCCACTATATCGTCAACGACTGCAAGCGTACAGTGTTTTTTTTTTAAAGTTAAACAGAGTGCTGACTGTTCTGCAGAGAAATGGTCTAGTTGATCGTTACTGTGATGCATACAGAAGGCTCCAGTTAAAATTTTCATACATAAGATCAATATTTTGAACTAATTAACCTCGCCGTTCTGAATCAAGACCTTCATTATTTTGGTCGAGTTGTGTGAATGTAATGTCAATGTGTCCGAACAATCAATGTCAAAAAATACGCCTCTCACTTAAAAAATTTCAAATTTCCACTGAAATTAATAAAAACAAAACATTTTCACTAACAACGAAACTCAAACACAGAAATCATTCTCAAAGCTAAAAAACTAAAACTAAACCAACGAACCTTTAACTTTCATACTTTGTGGCTGAATTACTGGGGTTCCTAAACATGTTAACTTTGCAATAATACCACCCACTCTTGATTGTTGAACACCTAGAAAGAAATTTCACAAACTTATTTGCAGCAATGGTGGGATCCTATTACACTATGGCGCTTGAATTCACGGCGCTCTTTAGAACAACTCATTCTTTCACAAATGCTTGTAAAGACAAAATGAATTGCTAAGTGCTTCATTTCGTACACCTATAGCAACTGGACTGAAAACATCCAAAGTTTACAGACAACATACAGCTTATAAAGCAACAATTAATTACTAAAAAAAATCAAGCAAATACAATAACATTCCCAGCAAAAATCATTTCTAGCTTCTTGTACCAAAATAAAATTATGTAACATCTTCATTGAATAAGTTTATATTTCTAGTTTTAGTTACTTAAAAAATACAAAGCTACATTCAAGAATTGATAAAAGATTCAGTGGCATTTAATTTGATATATGATTCAGATTTAACCCTTACCAAGTTATATGAAATGGAAAACTGTTACTGATGTAATTGAACTGTTGTGGTTTTGCTTTGGTATTTAATATTTCGATTGGAGACTATGTAAGTCATTGTTAAAATGGTTTTCAATTAAAACAAAGTTTAATTTTATTTAAATTATGATATCAATATTTTGCAGCTTACCTTTAGTCATTGCTAGCTACTTCTAGCTACTTCTAGGAAGTAGCTAGAAGTAGCTAGCATACATAAAACATGTCTTCCCTGATGGGTTTGTTTGTTGCTGGCTGTTGAACACAGGATTTTGAACACATTTCTCATTAGCAGCTGGAGGTTGTCAGGTGTTTGCTGACTGGTCTAGGCCTTTAATGTGTTTTACAGAAATTTAGCAGCTGAGCATCTTTGAGATTTCTGCTCCTATCCTCAAACATTTATTTGTGCCCTTGACAAAACCCTTTAACCCTTGTTAAGCTATTCTTATTAAGAGTAATGTTTGATTTTAAAAAGGATGCTGGTATTTTATCAAGATATTATAACTGGATAAACCGAATAAAATGACTCCCATTTTATAAATATATAAATCTGTCTGAGTTTTAATACTTTGCAAATGTTCCTCTTAGTGAACTTCAGTTTAACACATATGTTTTTAATAGTTTTATTTATTTATTTATTTTTATTTTTTTGTCCTGTACGGAGTTCTTAATAGTTTCATGTTTTGTATTCTTCTCACCAAAGAATTTCTTATGTTCATAATCAGATTTACATTCAAAGGTGTGAATTTGTATCAAGATGTAGTCAAAAGTGGCTCTCACCTGGCAGGTACCTCGATGTTGGAGATGGCGTAGAAGTACTTGAGTAGGTTGTCTCTCTGGACATAGGTACCTCCGAGGGCAGGCCTGAGCAGCCTCAACCTAAGGTTGGTGAAGGTGAAGAAGTCCTTCAGTCCCTTCATACTTTCCATTCGGGCGTACAGGTTGTCCATGTTCTGTAGCCGAGGTCCAGCAAACACAGCAAATCGTGCCCGCACCTCAAACTTCACATTCTTTTCAGCCTTGGAGCCAACCCAGCGCGAGTACTGCTCAGTGCAGATGACCCGTGTGATGTTAGCAGGTGAGAGATCGCGCACTTGTTTGGGTGGCATGTTGAATGCATCCAGACAGTCGTCGGCATAGAACTGGTAGGGCTGCCAGGAGCGTCCGTGGTCCATGGACTTATCCAGAGCCATGATCGTAGGGCGGCCATATTCAAAGGAGATCTGGATATCGTCTGTGAGCTCCAGACTCTTGTTCCAGGACATGGTGACGTTGGCCAGCAGGGGCAGTGGGTGGTTTCGCCATGTTACTGTCTGCCAGTAGGTAAGTAGGCCGTTGCGCTCATTGTCCTGCATCAGCTGAGGAGGGTGGGCAAGGTCTGGATTTAAGGCATCGCACTCGTCACTACATAGGTATGGGTTCTCCTAAAAGAGAGATAAAGACAGACAGAAAGGATTTCATTCGGGGTTCGGGAATGACTCTAACAAGAGGAACAGTAATGAATACTTGATAATACAGTGCATATTCCCGAAAATTGCATTTTTATTAGATTACTGCAAATTCACATTGACACTGGGGCCCTTTGAGTCCCTTGGGCAGTTGTCTGCTTTTCTCTTCTGGTCATCCAGCCCTAAATAGGCTCAGCAAATTCTCAATTGACAAGACAACAAAATGTCTTTGCTTTAAAAATGGATTTGTGGTCCCTGCAGTAGCTGCAGCCATCATTACTGCAACGGAAAATTATGTTAAGCTACGGATTTACAAATTCTATTCACAATCATCAGGATGTTCCTTTGTTCCCAGTACAAATGCTGATTCAAAAGATGTATATTTATTCCCACAATATCCACAGCTCAACACCAAAATCTTCCATATTATCCTCCCAAAAAAGACAAAAAGAGACGTGTATGGAGGGCCTTTCCAATGCACCAAGGGACAGAGAGCTTAAAAGTAAACTTGCCAAACAACACAACAGGAAGTGTGAAGGTCAAGAGGATCGTGCATCATCACTGTCTTTGCATAGACAGCAGAGTGCTGCTGCACTTTTAACTCCAGAGAATTGATCCTCCTCTTCTAGTGATGCCAAGACTTTCAAGTTGCTGCCCCTCTACACAACTAAAAGTCAACAGGATTAGTCACGCTGCTCACAGAGAGCTACAAGCCTCTTTACACCTGCAACGAGAAATGCTTCTGTAAGAATATCTCATGCATCTCATCTTCCCTTGATACCAGTAAGACAAATTCATCTTCCACTTGTTTAGGCTTGCAAATTCTGAAACAACCCCCCAAAAAACAAAACATAATGAAAAAAACTCCAACAAAAAACATCAGGTCCATTACTACTTTATATACGTGATACAGCACGGCTTTCTCAGCATTGACAAATGTAATCTTTGGATGGATTATGTTTGGGATCAGGGTTGAGTGAATGAAGTGCTATATTTAGTGTATGTACTGCAGCACAGTCACAGAGAGGAGGGTAAAGGGTGGGCTGCAGCTCCTGACAAGTGATTCCCATCTCTATGTAGATTTAGGCGACAAGGCTGTGCCTTCAGTTCATTTTGTATCAAGACATTTTATATATTAAACCAGACCACAGTCCTTTCCTAGCCCAATTTCTGACTGTCTACACATAACTATAAAACATATCAGTGCTATAGTCATTACACCAATGTTCTGCATGATCTGATATTCCAGCGAAAAGCAAATAAAATAGCTTGGCTTTAATCATTTTAGTAACTTGCCAAATATGTTAATTAACAAAAAACATAGTGTGATAAATGTAATTTCTAGGAGCCTAAGTTAGCATCAACTAACATTAAGAGTTGTCGCAACTCCACCAACTTTTCAAAAAAGTTTTATACATCTTTAATTCCACAGATGCTGGCTCGTCATATTAAAACCACTGCAGAGGTTTCAGTGAAATTGATGCAGCTGACTGTTTTAAGCCAGTTGTCTGACATCCCCATCACCACCCAAGTAAAAATATTTACATAAGGAAATCCCACAGATCCGCAGCCATCTCTCTTGGTGCTTAATTTGCAAAGCTCAGCTCTCGTGCTGTTTGGATTGTTTTACATTCAGAAGGCTAACCATGCCCCCAAGATGCACTAATTAGACTGTTATGATTTTCTACAATATTTAGCTGAAGTCACTAATTGCATCAAATACAAATATCTTTGTATTATTTGACCAAGCATTCACTCTATTGCCCTCATATACTGTCTTCTTTCATTACACATCACTTCACATTTAAAATTCAACATGTCACAAACAATACATGTCAGTACATTGTATTTATATATTGAATATGTGTTTAAATTTATGTCAGTATATTTATTTGTTATTTAAGTTTTTATGTACCTTGTGAAAAAGGATTCCCATAACAGCGTTATGTTTGCATAATTACAATAATGAATCTTCAGCTGCGTTTTCATCCTCCTCTCTGGTTTTCTCCACTCGTAGTAACTGATTGCAGTTCTACAGCTGATGTCATCCTTATTCTTTTATTTATTCGAAATCTGGCTGTCGTTCTGTGTTTTACCGCTGCATGCTTAACAAGCTCTTGATGGACTAGAGAGTATAAATATCCCTCTTTTTTTCTTCCACCTCTACCGCCCCTGCTTCTCCGCTGCTTCCTCCCCTTTCTTCTTCTCTTTTTTCATCCTCCCATATTATTTTTACTTTTAGCGTTTGTGCTGTTTCTAATTGTAGTGTTTAAGAATGCACCAGCTCAACTTGAAATGTCATTTGGTAAAATAATAGTAATTAGGCTGAAAATAACTACTACAGGGAGAAAAAAAAACATGTTTCGTTAAATAATTAGTTTGAAGATTTTCAATTATTATGCAGTAAAGATGGGCTGTTGTAAAGCAGACAAAGCTAGCTTTCATATTTACACCATATAGAAAATTCTTTTTAGCATTATTTCAAATTTTAAGTTGTTGGACAGGTTTTTATGTGAGTTGGCAAACTGTACAAGAGTCTCGGTGCAATAAATGCAAAGGCTCAATTACCTTAAATGACCTTTAGTCGTTTTTAGGTGAAAATGGGGCCAATGAGAGAAGTTGTTGACAAAATGACCTCAGGGACCCAGAGGCAAAATATGGATTGAAATTAATAGAGTTGATCCACAGGGAGGCTTGAAAGACAACCTATAACCTTTTTAAAATTAATTTTGTATTTAGCCAGGACAGCCAAGCCAAAACAGAAGTGATATGTTATCTTTTATTTGTACCAGTTAGAGTCCAGCTGTGAGGTGATAAAGCTGTGGATTTATGTTTCCATATCCTTTAGAGCCTAAACCAGCTCTAATTAAGTGATGCTTCTCAATTAGTGAAAGCTGAGTTTGCTGATTTGATTAATAAAGGAACTTTCCATAGAAACACCAAGATTTTCAACCAGGAGCACCAGGTGTGTTTGTTAAGATATTTGTGGAGTTTGATGGACCAAACTCAATAGTTTTAGTTTTGGTATCATTTAGTTGAAGGAGGGTCCACAATTTGAGACAAAGACTTTTTTCACTGAGAAGATATTTTCAAGTGTGGCAAGTAGATAAAGTTCAGTATCATCCAGGTATAAGGGAATATTGTGTTTCTGAAAGCTAGAGCATGTATACTGAGAAGAGAAGAGGACCTGATATGGGTCCCTGGGGGTTGTTGCGTTTAGTGGAAGGTGGGGAAGAAGAACAGTTTCCTACTTGGACCTGTAACATCACATATCATGAGCCTTAACAACCAATGAGATGTTTTAACAATTTATCACAAGGATCTGCCATATTGTTTATTCTTGTATTAATTAGACCAAAAGAAAGAAAGAAAAAAACATTTTTCTCTTGATAATACCAATTTCTTGGTCCTGGCTAAAATTCAATGCACATATAATGTGTGTTGTTAAAATATTGTCAAAATGTAATGAATTTATTTATGCAAATATAGTAGTCATTCGATCAATTGAGATCTAATTACTTTTGGTGTAGCCATTTATCAAATTGTAGTCATGGCTACATGTTGAACTGAAAAAGTGTATTACACCATGGATAGAAGCCTTAATGTAGAGTAATGTAATGGTGCTGCTGCTTAAATCTGGCTAAATTTGATCGCCTGATGATTTCACCACAAATTTGTGTTTCGACGATCAAACACTGACCCTGCAGGGTTTAAAGGTTGGTTGTATAGAATTTGAAGGGGCGCTTGAACATCAAGATGACACAGCTGCTAACAAGCTTGACAGAGTTGGGTCTGAGGTGCAAACGTTTCATGGATATCTGAGTATTTGTAATATATTGAGAATACAGATGGAGAGTAGGAGAAGCGGTCAGAGAAGCTCCTTTGGTCCCCCCCCCTACTAAAAAGAAATCAAGCCACCTTTCAGTTCCATAAAGATTTTGGGTGGAGTATCACATGAAACAGCAGTTTCTTCTTTCTGTGAAAGCAGTACTGCACAATATTGATGAACCTTGCAAGTGCGTATCACGTGTCGCTGCTTCTTTGCATCTATTGCCAAGCCCTCTTGAATAAAGTCATTGGACTGCGCTACAGAAAAGTGAGCAGTCACTCAAGCTCACTCTAGTGGCCTGATAACAAAAGCAAAAGTTACAATCCTGCGAGGCTGAGATTATAAATCATCTGATTTATGGTGACAGTGCAGAGTGGGGAAAACTCCAAACATAAGCAAACGCTGAGCTGGTGCTGAGAGAAGCTGTATGGCACAAAAGACACTGTGCGGGATCATAATGCATGTGAAGACACAGCAGTGGTATCTTTATACCAGAAACTGCAGATAATCTATCTCTCTGCTCACTGGAGCAACATAGCAGCATTGTTCCCCATCTGATAACCCAATTATCTCTCTTTGCACTGACTCACATCGAGATCGCTGTCAGCGCAAACACACTTAAGATGATCATCTACAATGCTCATAAACAACTGCAACCAGAAAAAGTAATTAGGATCAGATGAAGAGGGTTATAGCGAGCCTCGGAGTGAGAGTAGCAGCTCCGTGGTGGATCAGCTGCTTCTGTGCCCTTCAATCCAGACCCGTCCACACACGTGTTTACACACACTCAAAGTAAGATTAGTACGCCTGTTGTTCTGAGGATGACCCTTGACCTACAAATCCGATTGAAAATGATCGCACTGTCACACAGTCCCAGATAGAGCACATATAGGTTAGCTCCTGAAGTGTACCGGTGATAGCATTTCCTGTTTTGTCTGACACAGAAAGCATGTGAGTACCAGACAACATGAGGGAGTCATTACAGTATTTTACAGCATCAGGTCGAAA